GACCAGAATGTGAAGGTACAGCTGCTTCAAAAAACGGAAGCTTTTTATGAGGATAACTTACATGTCAGGCCAACTCCCAGGGCTAAAATTCCGGAAACCGTTGTTTAGGCATAGCAAAATAATCTTCCTTAAACACTTCACTAGGCGTGCTTACATAATGTTTTGAATTTTCTTAGATCATTAAAATGGTATCTTGTAAAACAGAATTATAACATTTAACATTTTATATTTACATTGTTAATGTTCTGTAAAGCAGCCTATTCAGTCATTTCAATAACCCCAATGTACTCCATAATGAAAGTTCTTTGTATATCCCTCTGTGACAAAAACAGAAAATGAAGCCTTCAGATTTCTGTCTTAACCAATTCCAAGGCCATTTTCTAGTGTGAACATCATACTAGAATGAACCGTGTAAACCAAGGATAATGCTATGCTCAATATTTTATTTATATTTTTATGTAAACATAATTTGCTTTGTAGGCACAATATAACAAAAGCTCTAAAGCAACAAATACAATTAAACAGTGTTTCAGTTCACTTAATCAGGCTTAAGTTAAAGAAATACTTTCACAGTTCCTTTAAGGCAAATTGAGAAATACTTTGTTGCACTTGAAGAAACCAACCAATTGTCTAAGAGTCGGTTAAACAACAGGGTTAGTAAATGGTAAAAGCAAATCTTCCTTCGACTGCATTAAGACCTGCTCAGTAGTAATAATCTCACCACCATCATTTTGTACAGCCTGCCTTCTACCACCTCAACAGAGGTTGATGCTGCCATTCAGGGTGTTCTGAAGTATTTAGGGCTTGTGGGCCAAACTCTGCTAACATAAATCCGGCTTCGATTACAGATACTTGAAAACTTTCCATTCGATTCAGGAGTAACCTTCATGCATGGCATAGTAATACTGCTAAGTACAGCCCAGTGATTGCGCTTGTAGGCTGTGTTGCTGTAATTAGGTAGATGCAGAAGCACTCCTCTGCACTCACTGCGATTACCTCAGGTCTCTGCATTGCTGTTCTGCTGATTAGAAAATGGCCCTCAAATTGTTATGAAATAGCATGAGGAGTACTTTTGCCTTGCTAACAAAACCAGAAAGAACTAGCCAAAATGATTTCACTGGACTGTTGTCCCTGTAATGTCTGACCAAGGACCAAGATTACCCATCTGTATTTGTTCTGAAAGAAAATTTAGGGCCACCGATACTATGGTTTTTAACAGAAGAACTGATTTATTATTCTGCTTGCTCTACTAACTTAAGGCCTTGAGAATGCCACTTTACTGCCAGCTCGAAGGTTACCAGCAATATTGCTCGCTTTGGCGTCAAATCAAAATTCCTAGTTAGGTTAAGGTTTGTTGCAGGACAACATCGTTACACTAACTGCAAAACAAAATTGGGCACATTTCCTACTGCTCTCAGCTTATGAGGGGTGAAAATTTAGTGGCCTTTCTTTTAAAGGCCCCACTGGCGATTGCAATACATGGAAAGCTCACTGAATATGTTGTCTTCTGTGGACAGAGTCCCTGCTTGGGCCTAGAAGTAAGTCCAGCATGAAAAGAAAATCAACTATAATGAAGTTCTGCATCAATAGCTAGAGAAAAATGAACTTCTGTTTTAACAAATATTTCAACGAAAGGGGTTTTTTTTAGCATTTTTCTCAGCAGTTACTAGTTTTCATTATTTTTGAATTGTTTAACCCTAGGGAAATTCATTCAGAATGAACATTCTACAGAATTAACTAGTATTAGGACAGCAACCTCATGAGCACAGTGTAAAAAGATGGACATTGATATTCAGGCACCAAAGATTAAACAAACAGAAGAAAAAAAAAAAAAGAGAGAGAATCCTCTAAAACCACACATAAAAGTCATCTGGATCCACCATTCCTTTTACATTGAGAAAAGCCTGAGAAACCTTCCCTCCCTCCCCGCTTTTTTATACTATTTTTCAACTTCTATTGCTACCCGATACTCATAGTTCTAGGTGAGCAACTGGGCATGTCTGGAGAAATACTCTCTTTTGCACAAAATATATTAATTCAAAGATCTATGGCATTATACAAGGTCTCTAATGTTCCTTTAGTGCTTCTGCGTTGTTGCACTCATTTAAAAATAATTCTTTTAACAAGACCATTGAGGACCTGAGTAGCTGCTCTTGAGTAGGTGAAAAGTAAGGACTTTTTTTTCACATCATGTTAAGATACAGTTTCCATTAGTGGGAGGTAGATAGTCTAGCTGGTCTTTGAATGCCTGATCTTGCAAATAATCACACATGTAAAACTGTACATATGGGAGCAGAGCTTTTTAAAGAACTACTCACCTAGATAAAACTATTCCCATGCATAACTTATGATGGGATTAAGGCCTAAAAGTAATTTTTAAAAGGGTTAACCACTGTAGTCATTCAGCTCTAGCTTGATAGTTGATCAACCCATTAGTGATTTCAGAGCTCTGCACTCCACCTACGAAATAAATTCTTCCCACATTCTGAAGAGTGATTCTTGCTGATCAGATTTTAAAATCATTGAATTTACAGTTGTTTTGGATTACAGACACAGCTGACTTTAATGTGTCCTTAGCAGAAGATGTTGTTGAATTGTCAATAACAATGGTAATAGTTAAAGGCAATTAAAGTTCTGGGTCTAAAAAAGTGATTCACTGACTTGTCTTTCCCTGTAGCATAGGGAGTGATAGCTCAGATCAGCAGGGAGGCATGACAGATAGCACTTTGAATGAATGTGTTTAATTACGAGTGCTGATGACTAGTGTAATTATACAGTACTAATCAAATTCCCTCAGTTAACAATTCCTTGCACAATTTCAGACTCTACAGCTACAAATGAGGTATTTTTGAAAATGAAGATAATATTGTTTAAAAGATGAGGAAGCATGACTGAGGAAAATAAACTCATCTTATTTGCAACTTTTATCTGTGGTTCATAAAAGGAAAACTACGTTAACACTGAAAATCCAAACTTAAAATCCTCCCTGCAGGTATTAGAATCTGCCAGGCACCAAATGGGGAATTCTTTTTGTTGTTGTCATCATTGTCAACTTGCAAAAAAAAAAACCACCCTATCCCAAATAACTTTATGCAAAATGTTGGAATTTGCATGAGAAAGATGCCCGTCTAAAATTACACAGAAAGTCAATAAGGCTTTTAAGTTGGAACAGAAAAATCCATGGGACTCCTACAAGGAAACTGGGTATCACACAGGAATATCATAATACTGCACTGGATGAGAATGGCACTTGAGTTCAAAACAACAATGATCAACAGCTCATAGCTCAGCTGACTGCAGACAAATACAACACACACTGTACTACAGCATTTGTTCACTGATGCACAGAATAGATTTCGCAGTCTTGTTCCCTTCTACGTGATCAATCCTTCCGCTTTTCCGCGCCACCTCTGGCTCTTACTGGATGAACGGCATGCGCTCTTTATTCTCGTTGTCCCCTTCATGGTCTTCTTCCTCTTCCCCGGCCTCACTTGTCTCTGTACTGTCGTTGGCCATCTGTGGGAAGAAAAATGAAGGACATTGAAGTGCCTATCACCGCATTTTTATTTATTTTTATTTCAATTTGATTCTTCTGATAAAGCGACTTTAAAAATGAAAGCAGACATGCTTGTAACATGAAAATGCATGTCTGTCCCTCCAAAAAAATAGCTTTATGCCACTTTCAACTAAAATCGTAAACTGTTCTCTCAAGGATTACAGCTGAATTATGTAACAGAAGGTCACTTTGCACAAGTGGAGTTGTGTGTGTCTGGCATTAAGGCTCTCCGATAGGAAACACAGCTGTGCAGGGAGTTCACAGTATGTAAAAGCCCTCTGGTTTGTGGATCCTTCTGGATCTTCTCGTCCAGAAAACAGATAAAATGATTCTTTAATGTATGCTAATGGATGGAATCTGGTCCTGCTTGAGGCATGGTGTCATGCAAATTCTGACAGCACCTGTTTTATATAAAATAGTAATGAATTGGAAACCTTTATAATGCAGTGGTTATGTAAATATTGGTAGAAGATACCTATGGTCCGATGAGCATAACCAGAGTGCTACTCTTAGATAATGTAGGAGTGGGGAGGAACTGCATTGCCATATGTTGCTGAGGATGCCTGTACAGCTGGTACACAACTGGAGACATCAGTCATTCGTGATAGCATTTTAGGAGCACATCAGGTTTTTCACATGGGAATCCTTATTACAAACTGTGTAAAGGAGCCAGACCCACTATACTCCACCTATACTTCACTTTGTCAGTTTGATTTGTCTCTGGAGGCACAACAAAGCCTGGTTATCCAGACAAGTGACAGTGCTTAACTGCACAGTTTAAAAGGGCTGAATTTTCCTCTATCCCAACATTACCTCTCTAAGGACCCAGAAGGATTCTTTTGTTATCCTTCAGCTATGTCAAAAACAACATAACAAGGGATTATTTTTAAAAAGAAATGCAGTGAAATTGTGCTTTCCTTGATTGATGACTGCTGGCCTCTGCTGGAAATAAATATAAAGAGTTCAAACACAACCCCATTTTATGGAAAAAAGCAATGCTCTGAAATTACCCATATTTTTGAATGAACTCTTTTTCATTAAAGTATAGCAGAATTGTTCTCATCATCTCACTAATGGCTATTGTGAATGTACACTATCAAGAGTAAGTGAAGTAAATGTATTAACTGTGCGTTAAGGATTTCGCTTTACAGTTTTGAGGTGCAATTCAGCTATAAAATAGTGACCAGTTTCCATGTGTGGAGTCCCAAAGCTTTCCTTTTCCTTGCAGGAATTTCATAAGAAATCTGAGGCTGGTTTTAGAGTAAAGGCTTAACCGTAATTTCAAATTCTTTTCCTTCAAAACAGTTCTGAAAGCAAACTTCATACATCAGTATCCCTCTTAAGTCAGCTTTGCATCATCCTTTTTACTATTCTTTCCCACATTATCAGCCAAGGTTTAGGTGCGAGCCTGTCTTCCATTTGCTAGTGCTCTCTGTAATGTTTCACTAGGATGGCTCCAAAGCCAGCGCAGACCTCCATCGTAAGTATCTTCCTTCAGAACAGTTTGAGAATGAAGTATTTAGGTATTATACTTCATATATATTACACTATATATTTCATAACAGAAATAAAAGCAATCTTTGCCAAAGGTGCATCCTGACTTTTGCATGGCAGTCAGAAATACTTGGACTGGTATGCTGAAGTCAAACTGGTGGTGTCTTTTTTGTTGCATCCACTCACTTATCCTTTTTAACTAAGGAACTTGGTATTACATGAAACACCTATTTGTCTTCCAGCACAGGGACAGAATCCAGACAGAAATCCAGTAAGACTCAAAGACACACATTTTTGGAGAGACAGGTTGCCATTCTTCATAGAAAATTAAGTGCTAGCACAGAATTTACATTTTACCTTAGGTTAAAAGTATAAATTATGATTATTGGTGCTATTTAGGTGCTATAGATTTAGGAGAGAACAGCACACAAAAAGTGTTTTAAGTGACATTTCTCCAAGGGTCATTACCACGCGTTCACTTGTGTGACAACGTGCCAGGTAGGCATGGTCTGCACTCACCAGGGGAGTGGGCGCTTTCTCCACATCCAGAATTAGTTTTCCTATATTTCCTCGGTCATGGATTCTCTGCATGGCCTCCTTCACCTGTAAGAAAGATAAATCTACTGAAAAATTGCAGGCACACACTAATAAAGGGGCTTGATGCTCCTTTCTTCCAGTGACAGCAGTATGTTTAAGGCATGCTGTGTGCAATGTCACTCCAACTGCTTCTTGAAAGGAACTTACTAATGGTAAGGATTTTCTGATGGTTGTGTAAAGCCTGATTTTTATACAATATTTGCCAAAAGGGGATCTGAGGCTTGATGATGGTTTTCAAAGAGCGTAATACATATATAATGCTAGCATAATACATAAGTAATGGATAGCAAAGGTGCAGAGTGAAATATAGGCTCAGGGAATTAATACTAGTGGGATGTGCATTATATTAATTTCTTTTTCTCCTTGCAGCATATTTGTGAAAAATCTCTACTTTCACTGAAAGTATGAAGTGTTTTCAATTAATATCTTTTGCCTTCCTATAGGGAGAAGCCATATCCTGAGAATGGTTGATTGATGCAGTACTTTGTTTCTCACTTCCATAAGTGAGTGGTTTTTGGAGGTTGTTTTTTATAGTGTCCTACAGATACCACTAAAACTAGACATTTAACAGCTGGCTGCAATTAGTACATGTGGGAAAGGAACCAAAAATCATCTCAGCAGTGCATTGCAGAGGAGCTTGCTTTGACGTAGCTTTCAGACCTTAAGGGAGCTCAGTGTCGAGCAATTGAAACGCTGCGTGGGTTTCACTGACCGCTCCATGTGCAATATGCAGACCACTGTGTAAGCACTGAAAATTGAAAGATGTGGAGTTTCCTCACTTCCATAGTGGGAAGCTGCGGGAACCGAGAATGTACACAGAAAGACTGTTTCATATCCTCATCACACTATTTTTTGCCAGCATAGCAGTGTATGTTGAGACAAGCAAGTGAACTGGAGAGTTTATGTTAATACGATCTACCATCTGTGACATAGTTTTATTGAATATTTTAAGAATAATGGCATGGAAGTTTGGGACAAAATGCTGATTTGGGAACATGTGGCTCCCATGGTACATTCTTAAGCCCGAATTCAGGTCCAGACACCTAAGGTCATTACTGAATGCTTAATACACAGGGAGGTGTTTGTATTGGATTTCCAAATACACTAAAAGAATAAGGCTCTCAGCTTCCAGTTGAATTTAATGGATGTTCAGCACAAAATGTCTTTACCATCTGTCAGCCTTATTTTGAAAGCTGGCAGCAGTGAATGCAGTATTACAGCTTTAATTTTGCCAAGTGATTCCCTCAATTAGTAAATACCAGACTTAAAAAAAATCTGTTAGAACAAAAGAAAAAACACTGTAATTCTAAATGACTTTCCAACTTCAGACATCATTGCAAATTAACCTCGGAAAACACTGTCTTGTGAATCTCACTGGAGACTGGAAAGTTGACTTCTTAATGCAGTCCACAAAATCACAGTAACTTCTATGACGTTTGCTTACAGCACAAATTATACTTAACTATATTAAAAATACTTACAATAATATTAACAATTTGCCTTGCAATACAATCACTATTACTTCAAGAATATTCAAAGACTCCAAAGAAGCAGCAGCTTGATTTTCTATTAGCCAAATCAACCTTTTGGATGTCTGTAATATGGCCTGGGACAGAATTGGTGAAATCATCAGACAGATGTGCCTGTCTATTGAAATGTATTACCGGAAACATCATGTGGAAAGTAGGGAATGCAATGTTTGTTTTAATCTGTACTATATCACATTTAGCAAGGCAATTTTCAGAAAATGTGCTTTTCCTGCATTTTTCACATGTACACTATCAAGTTTAAAACTCTGGAGAAAGGTTCAGGTGTTGCTTCCAGGACGCTCACAAGCAGCTTGCAAACGCAAACAGCCGGCAGAGGCCAAAAAGAACAATAACATTTACAACAATAATAGTGGCTGTGGGATCCAGATGGAGCTAATACTATATGTATATATATGTGAAGAGAAGTTAGAAGGGCTCATAATAATTTGCAACTTGCTTACCCAGTTGGTCAAATTCTGCACTACTGCAATGCCATTCAGTATTCTGTGTCTGAATTAAGAGACCAGGAGATATTGTATAAATGTGGAATTTTTCAGCTTATACCCGCTACCAGTCCATATCCATTCAACCAAGACTGCAGCTACTTACTTCTCAAAAGGCTTGAATATGTAAAACATTCCCTCTTACACAAGGATGACTGAAGTTATTCAGTGCAAATCATATAAAACATTTACTTCTTAATTTGAATATTTAAGTGCTGAATATGGTCTGCCTTTCTCTGAGTGCATTACAGAGCTTAACCTTTTAAGTTTGTGCTTGAGGGCTTACATGTTACCAATAAGAATGATGGATCACCCTGCTCTGGAGAAAAGGTTTAGACACAGGTTTAAATGACAGTAAGTGATGCACATGGACGTCAAACCCACTGCTGAAAATCAAGATAAACCTGGGCATGCTGCACAGCCAAACACTGCCTGATGAATCCAGCATAGGCCCTCCTGGGCAGCAAGAAAGGACACCGATTAATAGTGAAGGAGCAATAAAATTACTCCCACGTTTGCCTTTCCCCTCAAGCATGCTTTTGCATCAAGACATATTTTAGTTTGACATTCTGTTTTTTTTTAAATACACTCCTGAGCATAATTATCTTCCTGTATCTGTTCAATCTAATAAAAAACGATAAAAAACACAGGCAACTTTCTAACCCAAATTGGAACCATTTGCAGCTGCTTCAGGGAACACCATTTTATAATCGGAAAAAGAATTTTGAAGAATTATATACTCCTATCCCTGTCTAGCTCTACAAAAGTACAGTCATGGATATACTACCACATCCCCACATCCAGATACTCTTTAGCAAAGTCAGTAAATCTGGAAATGAAGACCTATGTGATAATGTAGTCATCCATAACACAGAAACTATGGTCTCAAAAGAGAAAAGCCTCCAGATCCTTTACGGGTTATGCTTACCATGCCCTGTAAGAAACATTCAGAATTCTTCTTTTCCATCCTAACTCCTCAAGTGCTGCATGTTTTCTTAGCCTTCTACAAGCTCTCCTTCTGTCCCTTACTCCTACCACTCTGCTGGACCCAAGCAAAGAAACAATGAATATAAAATGCACAGAACAAGCATTGCATTGTGCTGGCATTATAGGATTTTTCCTAGCCGTAACTAGTTTTAGCAAATTTTAATCTATTAATACACACCTGCACACTTAAAGAACTATTGTGCTACCAGTACCCAAACAGAATTCTTCAAAGAAGTCTTAATACAAACACAGGAAAAAAAAATCACAAAGCCACCAAAGAGGGCCTGCTGTGAGAGAGCTTATTCAAGTGTGTTTTCCTCACTTTCCTGAGGGGATGTTATGGTTGGGTTCTCAAACATACTCTTGGATCACAGCCACTTTTGTCCATCTGTATTGTGTAGTAGACTGAGAAGAGCAACAATTATTTCAATAGATCTTGGTAGGAGAAGAGCAGAAATGCCTTTGTGTTACAGCCAGAGAATGCTCTAAAATAGGTTTCATGACTTTGGAAGTATGAAGTTTACCAGCTATATTAAGTCCTCTCCAAGACTACCAGGTTGTCTCTTAGTGTACTCAAAAACATCAAGAACTGTGAATATACCCTCCTCTCTAAAATTTCTTATTCTGTTTCCAGCAGACTCATTTTATCCAGTTTCAAATCTTTTCCAAATCAATCTGAGGCTATTGGCCAAAAAAATGGAAGTTTTCAGAATGCTACTTAATATGCTTATCTACCACCATACTAGACTTTCTTTAAATATAAGTTGTAATAAAGTGTCTCCTTTAACTTGTTTTTATATAGAGAAGAATTGCAAAAAAGTTAATAATTATAAGAGTCATCATACAGTCTAAAATTAAAAGCTGATATGGAGGGGATATCAGCTGAAAGAGAAACACTGTGTTGAGTAGGTTGAATTACTTGGACGTGCATTCTGTAAGTGAGCATTATCCTTTAGATGTTGTTTTCTCCGAGGACAGTGCTTGCTGACCACTCCTACAGTCCCAGTGGAAAATGCCCTTTGCATGCCGAGATCCCGAATTCTCCCTGGCAGAACAAGAGCCCTTCCTCCCAGGACCCTCTCCCCGGTGGCCCGCAGGCAGTGAAGGCGGCGCGCGCTCCGGCCTGGTTCCGCAGCCCGTGGCGCGGTCCGGGGGGCAGCGCGGTGCCTGTGGGCGCCCTCGCCTCAGGAAGGGCCTCGCGCGCTGCCCTGCGGCCGCGGGCCCTCCACGGCGTCTCCATAGGGACGGGCCTGCGCGCCGCATGGACCCGCTCGTGGCCAGGGTTACTCCAGCAACCCCAGTGCCACGGGCAGCCATCCAGATCCCGCGCACAGTTATGGAAGAACAATCTGAATAAAAACTCGTCCATTTTTCATTCCAAGTTCTCTTCTGCTGCTGTTAATAACAGCTACTGTTTCAGCGAGTCCTGAGTTATCTCCATTTGCATTACAAACACTAATAATATCAATAACATTTATTTAGGCATCATTTGTGTGCAATAATGAAGAAAAAGATGCCTCCTGCACAGTCTATTCTAGCTGAGATACCCTGTAAGCAAAGCTTTAATGCTCCCGCTTTCATTAGTGCCATAAAGCAACATGATTTTCATTATTAGACTCGCTGCTGTGGTCTATAATGAGACTGCGTTGTGTTTAATATGAGTTGTGGGTTGCATTATAATTGCAGATACCCTTCTCAGACCAGGAGAACATTTTGCTTTCCTCTCATTGGCATATATGGCTTTTAATATTGAAAGTAGCATTTCATACAAGGAAAACTTATGTGTAGTTTCTGTCTTCTGGATTATGTCTGTTTAGTTTTGAGTGTCTGTGGAAAGGAGAAAATTCAAGAAACTGAGGACAATAGCTTTTCCTCTTGTCTAGCAACTCTGAAGTGAACGGGTACCTCGTTACCCACAGATGCTGCCTGTGTTAGAGCACGGGATGTAAAGAGCAGAAGTCTTCCCTTCAGGGTACACGTGCCCGCT